GATAGATTAGGGAGGCGGGCGAAACCTCTGGGATTGGATAAAAAGTAAAATGATAGACACATAGTACTTCTTTTACCCAGGTGGGTGCAGGATAGTTAACAGTTAATTAACATGATAACAATAACAATGAAGAAATTCATGGTCTCTGTCCTTGGCACCCAGACACATTTGGTTGTGCCCTGAGGGGTCCGGTAAAAGGGAAGTTACAAGTTACCCTGATATTTCACAAGGATGTTATCTTAGATGCAAAGAAACCATAGGCCCAGTTAAGGAGAAGATTGACCTTTATCAGTGAAGATACTGGTCTAGGACATGACTACGCACTATAAACTGCTTTAGTTGAAGTTTTAATCTCAGACCATCCTTTGTGGTTACTCTAGGTCTTTGAGTTTGCAGAACCGAAAAGCAGGCCTTCCCTGAGCTTGTCAGGTTAGCATGTGGCCTTTTTTTCCGTCCACACACCAAAGTGCTTATAGATGTACTCACTGTCCACCCGTTGCACCTCTGTTCTCTTCTGGATTTGTATCCTCTTGATCATTACTTTATTGATCTCAGTCATGGAATCCACACATTTATTCATGGAATGGAAACTTTCAGCATCCAATAGATGTCCTTTCCAGAGGATTCTTTCTCAGAATCCCTGACCTTGCAGTCTTCCTGTTATCTCTTGTCCAAGGCTGAGGGTTATCCACTCACCTCCATGACTGCTTATTCTCTGGCTTCTCTGCTCAAGATATCTGGTAATTTTGCACAAGTTAATTTCTCACCCAAATTTTAGGTTTTTTTCCTGTCTCTGCAAAGAGACCAGGGTAGTAATCACAGGAACTCCATCTGGGGTAGAAGTTTGGATTTCAGTGCAATGTCAGGATTCCAGAGTATATGGGCAAATAAATTGAAAATGTCTTACAATCCTATATAATAAAAGGCTAATATGCAAATAGACCGAACGGCAGAAGGACTACTTGCTATGATGTGCACTGACCACCGGGGGGCAGATGCTCAATGCAGGAGCTGCCCCCAGCCTGCAGGCCCCAGGCCAGCCAAGGCAGGTGCCAGTGGGGTCCCCCCCTCACCCCACAGGGAGGCGAGCGGCCGCGGCAGGGGGGCAGGGCCGGTGAGCGGGGAGGTGCCAGGCTGGCCAAGGCAGGTGTCAGTGGGGCCCCCCCCACTCCTGATTGCCCCACTGGTCGCCCCGCAGATCAGCCCTGATCACCGGCCAGGCCCAGGGACCCTACCCATGCATGAATTTCATGCACCGGGCCTCTAGTTGAGTCAGAAGTAGGACTTTTTAATTTTTATTTTTCTTTACCATAAATTTAATTCTAGGTGTCAAATCTAATACACATGTAACAAACATAACATTTTAGAATTACATTTCATGGATCGGCAAATTTTTCAGCTACTTTTCTCTCTTTTTTTAATAGCTTAATAAGCAACAATTGCAGTTACTGAAAGAACGATTCCAGGCCTTCCTCAACGGGGAAACCCAGATCGTAGCTGATGAAGCATTTTTCAATGCTGTCCGGAGTTACTATGAGGTAAGTGGGAAGAGGTCTTTGTTTTTGACATTCTAATATTTTATTATTATTTATTTTACACTTATTTTATTTTTAAATGTCATTGATTTTAGAGAGGAAGGGAGAGAGGGAGAAAGAAAAACATCGTTGTGAGAGTGAAACTGATGGGTTGCCTCCTGCATGTACCCCAACCGGAGATCGAACCTGCAACCTAGGTATGTGCCCTGACCAGAATCGAACACCTTGCGACCTTCCAAGGTACAGGACGGTGCTCCTACCACCTGAGACACACTGGCTAGGGCCTGATGCTTTATTCAAGATTTTTAAAAATGGATTTCCCACTTTAAGAAACTCACTGGAATAATAATAAAAAAAAAAAGGAATGAGTTTGCAACTTTTCTGAAATCATTGTCAACTCTATTTTGTAATTTAAAAACTCTGATTCCACAGCCTGGTTTTTGAGAGATAAACAGAATTAAAAATTATTCACATCTCTGAGGAGAAGTAAACGGTTTAGAAAATTTTTTTGGCCATGATTGATATAGCTGAATATAGCTATCTTTGGGTCCACATGTCTAAATTATCCTTTTTAATTGGGATTTCAATAGTAAATTGCTGTCTTTTGTCATTTTGTTCCCTAAGCTTTATAATAATTAAGACCAGTAACTAATTTCAAGAGGATAAATTGAATGTCGTTTCTTCCTGAAGGAATAATACTACAAATGCCACGTTGCTGTTTCTTCTGATTTTATTTTGTGACTGACTCGTTAGGAATTCTCTGTGGATTTCCTATGAGCACCAGTTTTCCTATGAGCTGTTCAGTGAGTTGCCAGTGGATGTTAGAGAGTTCCCTTTTTTCCTAAGCATTTCAGATTATTTGGTGAATGGATTCCTTTCATTGTGCAGATAACTCTAAGCCTTTCAGCTGAAGAAGCAACACATGCAAACATATATTTAGATTAGTAAAAAATAAAAAATGTGGAGACACATGTGTAAGAACTTTCCTGAGATGGGGAATAATATATTTGCATGAAAGCACAGTAACTGGATGTACAGAAAATTGGTTGAATTTGTAAATCATTGATAATATGCATCAGAAGTTATTTAATGCACCCTGAGGGAGGTTTACATTACCCTAAGAATTGGCCTGTTGAATTGGATGGAAGTATAGACATCTTGCTTACCATATACGTGTACGGCATGAATCTCATGGCAATAGTTGCTGTTGTCTGAAGTGAACCTTGACTCAGAATATCAACAAATATAGGACCTCAAAATCTTAAGTATAGGATGTTACATTTCATCTTGCAGGACTCAAAGCCTGAGTCTTTGAGTCAAAGACTAGCAAGATGAAATATTGCGCTGAATCTTAAAGGATAATATGCAAGGGCCTTTATTTGCGTCCTGTAATAAAACAAAAGTGAAAAAGTCTGTGTTCAGGATGAAGGAAATGTGGCTCAGAGGAGTAATTTGTATAAAAAGATGTAATTAAAAGAAAGCACTGAGCTCATTTTTGGTTTTGGTAAGTTGATGTGGCACGCTGTACATGTTAACATTAGGAAAATTGCCAACTAGGTGAGGTGGATGTGGGAGCTCTCCGTACTATATTTGCAACTTTCATGTGAATCTAAAATTTTTTCAAAATAAGTGTATTTAAAAGAAGTAATCATAACGTGATAGGGCCACAGTTGCGTAAAAGGCATACTTAAGCTGTGTTAATGAAAATACTGTAATTCCGAGGAGGGGAGCATGTCCCATTGTATTCTACATGAGGATTGTGTTCTCTTCTGGGCATGATATATAAACAAAAAGATGTGGACAATTTAGCGTTGTCAGGTTTAAAATGTATTATTTGTAGATTACTTGAAGGAACTGGAGATATTTAGCCCAGAGAAGGTTTAGGCTTGGGTTGTATGCGGAACCAAGAGCAAAATTAGGACCAAGATGTTAGGTGAAGTGAGGAAGATTTCAAGCTAATACCTTCGGAATTTGGTTGCACTGGCCACATGCAGAATGGACTGGTGAGTGCAACCTGACTGGTGGCCGGTTCTTGGCTGCGCTTCACGGGCTCTTGGGAAGCACGCTGCACATGCACGTCCCAGAGCTCGGCTAGACTTACTGAGTCCAAATTTCAGAATCCATACTTTTATTTATTACTTATGTTTAAAAATTTGTCTTTATTGTTGAAAGTATTACAGATGTCCCCGCTCCCGCCCTCATTGCCCCCCTCCACCCCACTCTCCCCTCTTCCCTCTGAGAATAGTCAGTCTGTTGCATGCTTCCATGTTTCTAGATCTATTTTGTTCATCAATTTATTTTATTCATTAGATTCCACATCTGAGTGAGATCATGGGATACTTGTCTTTCTTTGGCTGGCTTATTTTGCTTAGCATAATACTCTCCAGGTCCCTCCATGCTCCCCAGATGATGTTCTTACAACTGGTAGATTGCTAAGCAATGGAATTAGATGATTGCTTGCTAGGATTGTTACAAAGAGATGTAGTATTGAAGAGGCCACCAAGGGTTTTCTATTCTTCTGGTAATATTTCCAGCCGGTGTTTACTTGGGAAACTATATCCAACTTGTCTTAGTGCAACCCTCAAAGCGCTGTTAAGATTTTGATCTTAGTAAACTGGGGAATTATTTCCAAGGTGGCATATAGTTGGTACTCAATAAAGTCTTGAATGAGTACATTTTGGTGGTTAAAAAGTTGCTTTTCAAGAGCTTTCCCCCCCAAAATTGCTTTTTTTTGGGGAAAAGTTGGTTAAAAAAAAAGATGCTTTTCCATTTTTTCCCCTTTTCTTTTTTGTTGTTGTCATTAATCCTCACCCAAAGATATTTTTTCCATTGATTTTTAGAGGAAGTGGAAGGGAGGGATGGGGGGGGCGGGGAGGCGGAGGAGAGAGAGAGAGAGATGAGAAAGACACATGGATTAATTGCCTGGGAATCAAACCCTCAGCCCTTTGGTGTGTGGACCACTTAGCAACACTGGCCAGGACAATTTTTTTCTCTCTTTAATGATGTTTTTGTATACCTTGCAATGACTAACAATGCTAGTAGCCTTAACTATTAATTACCTTTAGGTAGCATTTTTATAGTTTACCAAAAAGACCTATTTTTTTCTTCCAATATCTCTTTTTGATAGAGTGCAAGTATTACTACCCACATATTACATAAATAGAAACTAAAACTCAGAGGTTAAATAACTTGGCCAGTGTTTATATATTTGATAAGCAGCTGAATTAAATGTGGACCCAGAGTTTTGCACTCTTTCTGCCACAGTTGCCATTTTGAATACAACTGTACCAGGTGCTATGTGAAGCACATCAAAAAGTATTTTTATTCTTTAGTATAAACCTTTTAAACAGGTAGAATTATTTTCATCTTAGAGGTGAAGTGACTTGTGCTCAAAGCTGCATAGATATTTAATAGCAGAGCTAAGAACTCATCCACTAAGGCTTAACAACAGATTCTTTGGTTCCGTCCAAGATCTGTGAAATCAGAATTCCTGGCAATGGAGCATCTGAATTTTGAACTTGCTAACCTGGTTGATTTGATTCACACTATGATTGAGAAAGGTATTGACTTAGATCTCACAACTTCTGGAATATATTCCATGATGGAGAGCCACTTCTGCCCTGGTTTCCATTGTATCGCAGTATGTAGCACTCACATGCCTTCAACAAATACGTGTTGTGCTAAGTGAATGAGTATTTCATCACTTATTGCTCTATGTAGAAACCATATCTTTTGTTCTTTACTCTTATTTTCCCATAATTCTATGTTTCTGAAATATTTCAGTTTTGCTATGGAATTTATTTTGCTTATTAGTGTCTCATCTTCTTAGTTTCATGATTTTGTATTTCCTTGAAGATGGCAGATACTTCAAAGCATGGTTGGGCTATTATGTTCTTTCTAAACTTGTATTCTGTGAGTCCTCGATCTTTTTTGTCTTTGATTTTTTGAAGTCTTATTTTTTTTTAGGTTGTTACATATTGTTCACTGTATACAGCTGTTTTCAACTATTAACCTATCAGTGATGATTTTCTTATTTGTTAGGCTTAGTTGTCTTTAGTTGTGATGGCCATTTCTAACCATGAATATATATATATATATATATATATATATACCTAATAAATGTGTATTATCTCTTTAGTTGAAAAGTACATCTTCATACTCTGGGGATACTAGTTTTACCAAAGTCTGTGTTGGCTATTAATTTTTTTAGCTTTATAAATCCTATTTCTTTAATTTTATGAATAGCTTTTTTCATCTTGGTTGTAGATTTATATATTCTACAGTAAATTAAAAGAATTATCTGCCTGTTCTTGCATTGGTTGTACCTTCAGATATTTGGCCTATTTTACTTCTCTTTAATACCTGGGATCTTAGTATCTGACTCAAGGTATTTCTTTTTCTACACTTTATTTGACCAAGATATCTTCTATATTAAAAGTTAAATAGTTTTTTTTTTAAAACTAGGTCCTTATAGGATTGGATTTTTCTGGGTGTTTATATGTGGTGCCCACTTGGATGTGTGTCTTTGTATGCTTATATCTATCGGTTAATAAATATTTACTGCGAGTACTATTCAGCATGTTATGAGGAAGCATATACTGTGAAGATAATGATTTTATATGACTATATAATTTCTGTTGTGTTATTTTTATTGGATGTCTTGTTTGGTTTAAATACTGACTTATAAAGTAAGAATAAGAAATAACAAATCTGCTCTTGAAATTTCATCAATCTTTTTCCTCATAAAGTTAGAATAATTTGGAAATAAAATGGATCCAAGCATCTGGATCATCTAACTAGGCAGACAAAATTAATAGAGAAGGACCAGAACAAGAAAAGAAGAAAGAAATGACAGGTAGCATACATAGCTGATTAATAAAAGTTAGCAGTTATAATCTTGATAATTTTATGGTTGCTAATTGTCATTAGATTCTGCTTTACCTTCATCTTTTTTTAAAAAAATTGTTTTCATGTTCTTTTCCCCCCTGCAAGTGACTCATTGT